TAGGTTTGCAAACTAGTGTACTTTTCATGGTGTCTATCTTAAACTTCAGCTGTTTGCATTTCTCGAGGTCACAGAAGCTCCCTGTGAGTGTGATCTTAACAAGACAAAGCTGTAAAGTGCGAGAGCCTTTGCCTCACGTGAGTGTCGCTCCATTGGAAATAAAATAACAAACCTGCCTGCAGGTGGCGCACCAGAAGCGCCGCTCGGCGAAATACAGCGCCATGCACTTTAGAATTCTAAACAGGTTTCTATCAGGGTACACACACCGGCGCTTCAAGTCGGCGACTGTCCACGGCACCCAGCCAGGATTCGTGACACTTCATGTTTCTGCGGTGCCACAGAGCGCCATTTGAACATGCAAATGTCAGTTTCTAGTGTGCCGTGTCGCGGCTCTAAGCGGGTCATCCGGTGCCTCACTCAAAGTTAATTCAGTGTGCGTGGTTATTAGTTTCGGTGTAAAAGCTCAGAACTTTAAACTAGCACACAGCTGGCTGTAATACTATATGAAGACACAAATGATTTTGTACTCTCTGCTTGGTCTGTGTCCGAGGCGTACATGTACGGCTGAATGCTGATTCTCTCATGCTGCTTTTCTCTGTCTGCCTGTGTTGCCAAACACAGAGCAGGTGAGCTCTTGGCTCCGCCTTGTAATGGTTGCCGTATATTGGTGGGATTTTTGCGTCCCGTTCTCTCTCTTTTTCTCTCTCTCTTTCTCTCTCCCCATCTCTACCTGTCGTATCCTCTAGGTCCGCCTTCGCGGAAGCCGATTGGTCAGGAGACCAGTCACATATAAGGACGCCAGGGAGAGCGGATGACAGCGCGCTTTTCATTTGATCTTGTTTTTGTGTGTTTTTGCAGACATGATTTTGTTATTCGTTAATTTTGCTTAACTTGCGTTTGGATAAAATTATTAAGTGTATTTTCTGCCCATTTTTGAACTACTTTGTGATTTCTGTACATTTATATTCGATTGTTTGTTTGTTACTTTTGGTACAACTCTTACCTGGCAAACCAAAAAGAGATCATTGAGAGTTGACTTTGTCCTGAGTAAGGCGGACAGGGAAGATGTCATACGACTTCCATCTTACATACACGTAGTCAATCCATTGTTTAAAACAGGGGTTCCCAAACTTTTCAGCCCCTGACCCCCAAAATGACAATGCCAGTGACTCGCGACCCCCAATATCCTCTGAGGTGGTTATAAATACAGAAACCTTGCATACAATGGTGCACACACACCAATAGACCCAAGTCTATTCTTCATTTCTGTTTTTTAATGGATACAGTGCTGTAAATGGACCAGAAAGTTCAACCTGGTGTTATAAAATCAATCCGCTGCATCTGATGCTATTGCTGTGTATTTAATATAATGTACCCCAGGGGTCGCAATCCAATAGAACAGGGGTGCTCAACCCTGTTCCTGGAGATCTACCTTCCTGCAGATTTCAGTTGCAACTCTGCCTGTAGTTATCAAGTGCTGTTCAGGTCCTTATTAATTGATTCAGGTGTATTTGATCAGGGTTGGAGCTAAACTCTGTAGGAGGGTAGATCTCCAGGAACAGGGTTGAGCACCCCTGCAATAGAAATATAAGCTATTATAGTAACTATATAGTATATATATTTTTTCTTCAGTAGGTTATGAATAAAATATGGTAAATCTTGTGGTTTAATAAAATTAAATCGATTTTTGTAAATCACCAGGGGACCCCCTTCATTGTCTGGGGTTCAATGGGGGTCCCGACCCCCACTTTGAGAACAACTGGTTTAAAACACCAGGTAAGAAAGTGAATGCCACTTATGTATTTGTTTTGTTTTTAGTTCAGAATAGGTAAGATTACGGCGAAGATTTTTCTTTTTCTTTTCATGTTTCTAGCGAGGTAAGAGGTTTGCTTATGAGTTAGAATTGTTTTGTTATATTTATTTCTTTGATTTGGCTTCACTAGCGTCCCCTTACTCTTGAGTTGACCTAATTTTGTTTGCTACTTTGTTAATTTGTTACTTTATTATTGTAAATATTTTTCTTAGTGTATATATATTTGGGCATTATTCTGATTTCACTTTTTTTGTACATTAAATCACTTTTGTTGGCAGTTTTGTTGTTTGTGTCTTTTACTTTCACCCATCATCTTGTAAAAGTACCACACCTTTTAAATGTTATTACTTTTACCCTAGACTAACATCAAAGAGGTTGTAACAGCCTCTTGTTATGTTAGGCGGGAATTTGAAACAAATTTTCATGTGAAGCAACACGCCCCTAAAACAGCGAGCTGTGTACACGCCCCCAACATGACACTTTTAAACACATTATAATAAACAAATCTGAACTGTGTTATGAACTGAAACTAAACTGGCACACTCAGAAGAGCCATAATATTAATATTAAATCATAAAAAAGGGGTAAACTATGTGCCCTTTAAATCTTGTTTTTTTTTTATGTGTTTTCATTTATCAACATTTTGCATTCATTTTAGTGTCAGTGTATTATTACCATATTTCTGTGCTGAACTGTCCTCTCACTATCCTACTTTCCACAGCAGTTGATTTTACAATAGCTTTCTTCAGTCTGTCGTCTTTAATAATCAAGATGTTTTTGTATTCCTGCATATTTTTTTAATATAAAAATGTTGGTCCGGTTGCATATTGCCAACAATGAAATAAAACATGTGTACCCGAAGAGCACTCGGCTGATTATTCCACGAAGTTTCATAGGGTCAGTAATGTCATAATGGCTATTTCTTTCTTGTGGTTACATAAATGTTTTTGATTGATATTACAAATATTATTGCGCTAGTAATTAGTTATGTATGAGTATTTTGGGTTGGATTCAAGGCATCGTTTTGCGCTCTCTGGGATTCCCTTATCCTTGTAAAAGCAGCTGTATTGTAGTCTGGTGGTCATGGAAAACTTCAGACGGGTTCCACACAAGTGCTTCCAGATGGGATGTTTTTTTTTTTTAAAACTGTCATTAGAAGGATCATAAAAATAACAGTAAAATAGCTGACAGATCATTTATTGTGCAAATTTACTGGCTAATTGCTCATCTGCTTGGCGATGCTAGTGGTTTTACTGTTACAAACTTGAGCTAGCGTTTCCTTCCCGGTTTTCAGAAACATGCAACATGTCATTGATGCATTAAGAGTTACACTGTAGACTACAAATGCTTCAATGTCTATCAATAGATCTATAATAGTGGTTCTCAAACTGTGGTACTTCCTGTGGGCTTCCTTCTAGTGGTATGCGGAGAAATACTAGATAATGAAAGAAAATAATGATTATAACACACTTTTAACTTTTGCACGGGATCCATTACACTGATGTGATCTGTTCCCTGAAGCGTACGATCACATTAGTGTGCTTAGAATGTTTACTTTAGTTCATTTCATCATCAGATGCTAATAATCAACCCGCTTTGGCGCAGAGCCAGAGAAAGAGGCGCATGGCACTTGCGGTGCAGATACAGGCTAGAGAAGCGCTTTATGCAGACCAGTGCTGTTGTGTTGGCATTTCAGTAACTGCAAACTCATGAATCCCCCCATGCTGCATCATTGGTAAAATAACTCACAAATGTGTTTAATTCAGGTTTTTTAGTTGTGTAAAATAATGCGTGCTTTCAAGAAAATAAAGTTATTTGTTTTGTGAAGCAGCATGTGTACATGCAACATATTTAAAAATATATCAAAAATTGTTTATATATGAATATGATGACATATAGCCTATGTTTATTTATGATGTCTAAGCAACATTTCCAAGTTTTGATGAATGGGTTATTATTTGTTAATACTTTGCATTTGACTGCAGTTTTCTTTTTTACTTTAAGAACAGTAGCCTACCATTTTTAATTAACTTTTAAACGTTGACTTTTCATTCAGTTTTTTTTTTTTTTTTTACCTATAAGCACAGTACAGTGTTAATGTTCAAATTATTTCTAATCTTTAAAGTGGCTGACATAATAAATATTTTTTATAATAGTAATTAATCTGCCTCGTCATTATGGTGGTACTTGGAGACACTTTTTTCTGAGGTGGTACTTGATGAAAAATGTTTGAGAACCACTGAGCTATACTGTACTGTAGAAATGTATTGTATCACTGTAAATTGACAGTCATACAGTGCTGAACAGTGAATATTGGTAAAATATTTTGGTGCTATTATTGATATTTTGGAGTTATTAAAAAATACACAGAGATAATTTTGTGAATATATATATTCAACAATCTATTAAACAGAAATTGTTGAAAAAAATAAACAGGGGCGCTAATAATTCGGGGGGGGGGGTTGGGGGCTAATAATTCTGACTTCAACTGTATATATATATATATATAGCAGATTAATATATATATATATATATATATATATATATATATATATATATATATATATATATATATATATATATATACAGTTGAAGTCAGAATTATTAATCAAAAATGTTTTTAAATTAATAACTGCTTTTAATCTAGCCGAAATAAAACAAATTAGACTTTCTCCAGAAGAAAAATTATCAGACATACTGTGAAAATGTCCTTGCTCTGTTAAACATCATTTCGGAAAATATTTAAAAAAATCTAATTAAATCAAAAGGGGGCTTATAATCTGACTTCAACTGTATATATATATATATATATATATATATATATATATATATATATATATATATATATATATGATGTAAGCTATTGAGTGTTATGATTTTATTAAAAAAAATAACTTCTATAAATAAAGTATATCTACAAAAAAATATCTACAAAAAAAAATCTGTGAAACTGCAAGGCCGCAAGAGGGGAACCACGTTATAGTGAGAAACCATTGTAAGCACAAATATAAAATTGTAAAGCTTCCTATTGAAAATATTAATTAAAATGAGAGATTTGTGAAGGGTGTACTGTTATGTTAAGCACTGAATAGAATTGTCATGCTCTTTTGGTTCATTTTCTTTCAATGAAATAGCACATAAAGTCGAGTGTTTTTGGACTAAACCATTGCATTCTTTTTTCCCTCAGCATCAATAATAAGCTCCAGCAGCCAGAGGCCGCATCAGGAGTGCTGGAGTATGCCATGAAACACTTTGGAGAATTGGTAAGGGCTTTAAACTCTCATTAGTGGCCTTTCACATGTCACATCTAAAAATCTGTTATGAGGATAGTGTTGTCAAAAGCATCAAATTTGATACCGAAAAAACACCCAATGCTTTTGAGCACATTCTTAAACACAGTTGATTGGCCATTGTGTGCACATGCTCAACAGAATTCACTATAATTGGCCATGATTGTCATCAGTTCACCGATCTTCACCGCTGTTTATCGAGTAAAAATGGAGATACTCGGACACTGGAAAGCAGATCATTCGACCCATCCACGGTTCGCTTGTATGTCAGCTCACAGACAGATCATCTGATCGAAACAACTTTAAAGCTGATGACCTTCACAACCAGTCGACACGGTGGCTCAGTGGTCACCTCACAGCAAGAAGGCCACTGATTCGAGTCCCGGTTGAGTCAGTTGGCATTTCTGTGTGGATTTTTGAATGTTTTCCCTGTGTCTGGGCGCTCTAGTTTCCCCCACAGTCCAAAGACATGCGGTACAGGTGAATTGAATTAACTAAATTGGCCGTAGTGTATGTGTGAATGAGTGTGTATGGATGTTTACCAGTACTGGGGCAGCTGAAAGGGCATCCGCTGCGTTAAACATATGCTGGATAAGTTGGCAGTTCATTTTGCTGTGGCGACCCCTGATGAGTAAAGGGACTAAACCGAAGGAAATTAATGAATGAATGACCTTCACAACTAATCACAGTCATTTCTGTTGAAGACTTGAACATAATGGCCAATCAGTTGTGCTTAAGGGTGTACTCACACCATGTACAGTTGCCTTGAACCGGGCGGAAGCACGATTGTCTCCCTCCCATCTCCTCCAACGGCCCACAGTCACATTGCATTCAGGCCTGGGCACGCTTACGTCATCGATGATGCACTGTTCAGTAAGAAGCGCTCTCATTCAGCACAGTGGAGATTTCTTTAGTTATATAGTTTTAGCCGTTTAGGATGCAGTGGCATGCAGTCAGATTTTTGGCCGAATAGATCTGCCAATTTCTATGCTAATAAACAATCATAAAGTCCTCGTGCCGCAGGTATTAGGAGGTTTACTAAAGGTGCAGCTGTTGCGCTGTGAGGGGTTTGCATCTTTAATATTCTAGACCAGTGGTTCTCAACTGGTTTGGCCACGGGACCCACATTTTCACATGGTCATCAAGCCGCGAACCAAATTTTTAGGAACTATAATATAATTTTAGGAATTATAAATCATTTGTATTTATTTGTTAACATACACAACTAGTGACAGATAAATCATAGAAATTCACCAAACAATATTTTACTGCTGTCATTTAACAAAATGTATCAATTTATAGAAATATTACAAAGTAAGAACGTTAGATACTTTAAACAGTGGTTAGGCTAAGGAAAAGTTAAGTTACCATTAACTAAACTGAACTGTTAATAAAACTATAACCCTGATCCAGTGGAACAAAACAAACCAGCAATCTAAAGTAAAATAAGTAAATAATTATAACCATTTTCATAACAATCACCAGTTATTTGCTCTTCTGCTTTTGTGTGGCTTTCTTAGCCTTTGCTACACGGTGAGCACAGTAAGATGAGCGGAGTGCCTGTACTTGTTTTGAACATAAAGATGTTAGGCACTTTTGTGATACCCTCAGCTCTTAGAGTCGTCTTTGAAAATAGTTCGCAGGTTTGTCCTTGCAATTAGGATATTTGGTTTCTAAATGTGGTTTTAATTTAGAATGTTTTGTGCTCTCTTGTGAGAGCACCTCACTACATATGACACACTTGAGGTTTTAAGCCTTTTTTGTCGTATATATATCTAAATCCACACTTGACATATTCGGGGTCGTACTTACGCTGAAATTTCGCATGTCAAACGGTACAGTTGTCGCACGCGCATTTCAAAATAAAAGTCTGATGTTAGCAAAATAAGTTAAAAATTAAACTATTGATGACCCACCAGTTGAGAAACACTGTTCTAGACAGTTTGCGTTCATTAAACAGTAAGAATGACTGATTGACGAGATCAACTGGAGCGAGGCTGACTATTGAGCCTAAAGGCTGATTTAAGTTCTAAATCAGGGGTCTCAAACTCAATTTACCTGGGGGCCGCAGGAGGCAAAGTCTGGGTGAGGCTGGGCCGCATAAGGGATTTCACAGAAAAAAGTCGTCAAATGTCATTATTAACAGTTTTAATCATTTCTTCTGAACATGAAGTGTCCTGAACATTAATAGAACATTGAGTGAAGATTATGAACAGTTCTTCTGAACATGGCATCTTTTGCCTACTTCTTGCTGCCAGAGACTTGACAGCGCTTCTTCTCACAAATCTGAACCACATTTGGCTTTAGAGCGGAAGCAGTTGAGACCCTCAGTATGGCTTGAAGATGATCATCATTAAGTCTAGACCTGTACTTTGACTTATTGAAGTCCTAAAAAAAAGGCGTATATATGTATAAATAAAACACCCCACCCCACTCCAGTCACATCAGTCTGTACCAGTCTGTCTCTACCTGTAATATATATAAGATGCAGGGCAGGCACGTGCACACATAGGGCTCAACCTGTGCAGAGCACATGCCCTTTTTAGTCTTGCATAGAAAGTGCCCCCGCGACGCGACACACCCTCGGTCCCGCCCTTCAGTAGGCGCGCGATAACACCGCTCTTGAGTATGCGCGCGACAACACAGCTGATCAGAACGCGCGCGACAACACGGCGGGCGGGGAATGCCAGTGACCGCTGTGTACGGATAGAATCAGCGGAGCGGGGAGCGCTCTCTCTCCCCGCTCCGCTGATTCTGTCAGTGTACAGTGGTCGGCGCGGGACACAAAATATTGCACTGAGGGCCACAAATGGCCCGCGGGCCACGAGTTTGAGACCCCTGTTCTAAATGAAAGCAACAGCACACGATAGAGGAATATTTTCCATATTAAAATGAGTTTTTGTCCCAACAAATACCTGAAATGTATATTTTATAAACGGCTTTTATTTCTTACAGCTGAGCAATAGAAAACAATGATCACCTGGGGTACACCTCATGTGCTTTATTCAGTGTTAAATGCTAATAATGTGAGTTTGAATGTCATTTTATGCCATGGCATTTATTGCCTACTACTGAAAGCAGCAGCACATAGCTCACCTTAGATCTTGAAAATAAAATAAACCCTTTGAAACAGAACTGTAACTCAGTGACAGCCAACACATATCAGTGATTCAGCATGCACATTTAATAATGTTAAAGTGGTTTAATATGTATTAATTAGATTATAAACCTTATCATTTTGTTGGAGTGCAGTAAGTGCACTATTCTGTGCTTCTGAATGGCTGTATTTAAATTTCTGTCGGGCTTTGTCTGGTCCAAACAGCCAAATCGATTGTCACTGCAAATCTCTTCACGTAGTGTGTTGTTAATACACAGGGTTACAATGTAACCTGCTCACCTGCATTTTCGGTCACAAATGCATACTTTGATATGCTTCATGGTTGAATGAATTAAATACGTGGCTTTCCATCAAGGCAACCTAGGGTGCGGAAATACAATTGGTTAAACTGGCATTGAGTGGGTTAAAGAGACCAAAACATAGACTGACGTTCCAGCACGTAATGCACACTTTCAAAGCAGAATAACTGACTTTGCCATTGTTTTTCAGATAAACAAGAATGTTCAAATAGCATGTTTCTTAAATATCTGCAAACATATTATGGTATTTGTATGCTTTAGAAGAGTCAAAAACTTACATACAGCACCTTTAAAACAAAGTTACAGCTTTGGGGAAAAAACTTGTGGCAGGAATTGTGCCATAGGTGGCTCTACTGAGTCAATAGTGCAGTCATTATTAGCAACTGACTAAAACCTCTCACATCCCTGTAAATAAAACAGGGGAACAACTTTGTGATCATAAACCTTTGATGCATACAATCACAGCAATGTGATAAGTCTAAGCTGGTTCCTGGAGTAAACAATCACACCGATGTGGTTAGAGCTTTCAGTGCATCGTTGATAAGTTGCTAAATTAAATTCTGCCTTGCATCAATGGCTGCAGCCAAGCCAGATTGTAGACAAGGGTGATGCTCGTCAAAGATTAAAAAAAAATCAGTGTTCTCAATGAAATAGCGTTTGCAGGTATTTTACTAGCAAAACAAAACATTTGTCCTTTGTAAAATGCTTGCTGGTGTCTATAGTAAATAGATATAATACTTATTTCACAACAGATTATTGTAGTTACTCACAACAGATACACACTGTTTAGTTAACTAGAACATTTACTCTATACTTCTCCAAGTTAAATAGCCACTTACTAGCTATGTTGCCATCCAAAGATATGAATTAAATTTATGCGCATAACTAGAATATTGCATAAAAGACTTGCGAATAATACAGCGTTTCCATCCAGGGAGTTAACGAGAACAAAATCGTCACTTCCTGATTAACTGGTGCCAAATATCAAAAGTAAAAATGCAATTTGCTGCAGTAGGAGAAGCTGCGTGAATCTTTTCTTTATTTAATAAATGACTTTTGTCAGAAGACAATGCCAACATGTAATGATCGCATGGTGGCCTTTGAAAGGTGAGACGTGGAGCACAGACGCTCTTGACTATTCTGGAGGTGATTAATAATCAGACCCAATCCAATGCAAAATCAACAAAACCTAGCAAATTTTCACGATTCTGCAAAGTTCTTAATTAAACGCAAAATAATCTGAAAAAAAAAGAAATAATCTTATAAAACATCCAATTCCAAACCATATAATCAAAATATTTTTATTTTAGTTTGCAATTATTTGTTTTACATGACTTATAGACGTTGCATACACAGCGCACGTGATGCATTTGAGTGTCTCTCGAAAATGACGTCTCACCTGCGCCCTCACAATCCAAACATTATATTAGGGTTGGAGGGGTTTGGCAGCCTGTGCAGTAAGATGAAGCGCGAGTTATTTACATGAAGTCAATGCACTTCAGACGTCTAGAAAAAAGAGCAGTGGAACAGACAGAACAGCAAGCAGCTTACAATGATGGAGATTGGTTCAAGCATGACGACCACTGGACTTGACAGAATTGAAAGACATTATATACACGTATGCCTGACATTATGAATTTATATTTAAGAAATCGATAAGTGATTTTGTTGAACTCTTTCCCTGCAGTTAATGAGAGAAAACCAAAATGCTTCCCTGCAACGAGTTTTACGGCAATCCGTGTTTTAGGTGTATTATGGTAGGTGAAGCCTTAATGCATTTTCTGGGTGAGGTACATGTCAGATGCTCCGGGGAGAAAAACTAGGGGATCTGAATAATAAAATAATACTAATACTGAAACGGGTAAGGTGTTGTAGAATGACCAAAACACCATTTTAGATATTTTACAATGTGCTAAGCCTGCTGGTTTGTATAACAACACACATTTTTATCATCACATGATCTCTTGCAACAAAATCACATGACCTTTTTCAATCTGCATACTGGAATTTGTTCAGTAAAAGTGTTTCCATCATAGTTTATGCGCTTCTTTTTATATTAAATAAAAAGTTTATCCTACTCAGTTATGCACATACCATTTTTATGTGCATTTTCAATATTTATGCACATCTTGGCATTTCCATCATTTTTTTATGCGCATATGCAAAATGGAAACATGGCTGTTGGCATGTAGTGTAGATGACGTTGATGAATTCATGTGTTGTAAATCCAGCAGCTCTAAGGTCTATAATTGGAATTTGACAGAATCATCATAATACTGATATGTATTATGGACGTAAAGTGACAGTTTCTCCAGGGATGCATTAAACTAAACAATCACTAAAGCCATGCTAATGGGAGAATCTCAAAGCATTGAAATGTACAGTTATGTATGATGTTAATATGATGCAAAATAAAGCATTTAATCAGATCAGAAACAAGTGAAGTCACACACAGTTTTTTTTATTTTTTTTAAGATTTATTTTTGGCCTTTTTGCCTTAATTAGATAGGACAGTATTGAGACAGGAAGCGAAGTGGGAGAGTGAGAGGGGATAGGGTAGGAGAAATGTCGTCGAGCCGGGATTCGAACTCGCGACACCCTGACGTGCTATTGCACCATATGTCAGCGCGCTAACCACTAGGCTATTGCGCCGACAAGTCACACAGTTGCCGATTAACATATGCAGACTCAACAATCGGTTCATAAATTTAAACTATGTGTTGTGCACACGTTTTAAATGCGAATTAGCAAAAACGTTCCTGAATTTGCACTATATTTATATGCACTGCCATTTTGAAAAAGCTAAATAAAGACCTTTCTTGAAATCTTTCTTCAAATTTGGGAAATCCTAAAAGATTCCTGAAATCCTAGGCTAAAATCTGTGATCTTTGATCGTTGGTTTGAAATGTTCATAGACAGCCGCTTAATGTCGGCTATGATCAAATCTTTCGTCCGATGAAGTTCTTGCACTGTCAGAAGATTTCAGACACTTTCCTGTGGTGTGACAACAGCTGCGATGAGCGTCAATCCAACAACTAAAAGGAGCGCCAAATCCAATGATGCAATCTATTTCCCCACTTACCGTGGGGAAATGTCAAAACAGTTTTTTTCTTCCTGGTTTTATTATTGAGACACGCCGTGCAAAATTGCCGCTACAGATTGTTTATGTTTGCTATGACGAATCATTTCAGAACGCAGGATAGTGAAAGTATCACGGATGGATGCGGTCAAACTCCAGGGGCATATTTCTTCCGTGTTTGGTGCGTCTTTATTGTCGTTCAGTCTGACTTTAGGATAGCGAAGATCTAACAGTGTGACATGGGAGCCATGTTAGTGCAATCTGACATGCTTCAATTGTTCAGGAATTTAAAAAATGTACAGTGTGAGTCGGCCTTTAGTGTAACATCTATGGGAAAAACATTACTTTTTAGCCTGTAATTTGATATTTGTTATTTATTTCGTTTGCATTTGAATAACTTTGAAAGACTATATTTATTGAGCAGCTCTTTCAATACAGTCGTGATTCAAAATTCCAGCTTATGAGTGTATTTCTCTTTTTTTTATTTGAATCCAACTCGGGCCAAATGACATTCAGTTTGTCTTTTTTGCTGTATGAGCTTTGCATTCTCATTCATCAAACCTCATCACTGCTTTAAAAAAACAACAACTTTTCATTATAAAATATGACCTGGGGAAGTGTTTTTTTCAAATGCTGCTGAGCCATCCATTACTCTGGCAGATGTTCACAGTGGGCTTGTGGCCAATTTTCAAATAAACTGTTGCTATTCCCTCCCATGAAATGTTGGAACAACAATTAAGAGCTATCCATACTCAGCAGTCTGCGTTCCCTTGGAACTGATTGTCTGAGGTTGAAATCCTGATTTGTCAGGGCCATGATGAATTTGTGGGAAACTAAATTTAGATTCTTGAGAAAGTCTTCTTCATCCCTCATCCTACTTTTTTGAGTGCTTCAATTTTCTTTGAGAATGCCATGGAGTGTTTAAACTTTAATTGATTTCCGTCATCCTGTTATGTTTTCATCTTCTACAGGAGATCCAGGCCACCTGGTATGAGAAACTTCATGAGTGGGAAGATGCTCTGGTTGCCTACGATAAAAAAATCGACATGAACAAAGATGATCCAGAGCTTATTTTGGGTCGCATGAGATGTCTGGAAGCACTAGGCGAATGGTAAGCAAACTTTTGTCAGTGTATTCACCTTATTCTCTGCGTATGAGCGGGCACAGCCATTTGAATCTTTTGGGCTTAAGACTTCCGGTCTCATTCACTTCCATTCATTTTTAGACGTAAAACAGTTTGTTATGCTCTTTGATGTTGCAAACTGATATTTTCTTATTATAATATTCTACTTTGTCTGAATAGTCATGCAAACACTTGTTTGTCGAGCAAGTAGTTTGACCGTTTTCTGCCGTTTATTATTCCTAGTGTTTTCTCCCATAGGCAACTGAATCGAAAGGTCTAAAACAATCGTGAAAATGCACACACTTCCGCATTGAAGAATAAGCTCAATACTTATCGCCTTAAAAAAAAATAAAAATTCAATTCTTATTTGAATAGTTTCCATGTGCTGTATAACGTAAAGAAGCTTTTTTTCAATTGTTTTTTTTTCAATACTCACTGTTTAAACAAAAGCTTTAATAACTAAATTTATTATTCTACTAGCTGTTTTGTAAAATACAAATATTCATTTTAAAGCGCAATATATTTTAATTAATTGGTTAATTTTGTTGAGATGCAGTTGGAAGGGCATCCGCTGCGTAAAACATATGCTGGATAAGTTGGCGGTTCATTCCGCTGTGGCGACTCCAGATTAATAAAGGGACTAATATATATATATATATATATATATATATATATATATATATATATATAATTTAAAGAGGCTTTTTAACAAATAATTCTTAATTTTTTAAAAATGTTAAAAATACTCAAAAACAATAAAATATATAATAAATAAGTTGGGAAATATTCAAAAGAAAATGGACTGCCAGTCATTACACCATGGAAAGTCATTTTCCCTGTGAAATATAATTCCCCTCAATACAGGGTCACACAAGGAGGTGAGAATATGATTGAGTGAGTAAAAACAAAGCTCAAGTGTGCCTTTGTGGAATATCAGAGCTCGATTTTTTTTTTTTTTCTTAACAGTTAAAAGGTAATTCATCCTGATTCCTGTAACATTTGTCATTTACCGGGAAGCATGAGGAAGTGTTTATGTGGAGAGTGACTGGCATGAGGGCTCACTTCCTGGATTTGTTGCAATCTGCAAAACTGATATATTTACAGGAATATACAGTTGAAGTCAGAATTATTAGCCCCCCTTTGAATTTTATTTATTTTTTGTTTTTTTATATTTCCCAAATTATATTTAACAGAGCAAGAAAATTTTCACAGTAAGTCTGATAATATTTTTTCTTCTGGAGAAAGTCTTATTTGTTTTATTTCTGCTAGAATAAAAGCAGTTATTATTTTTTTAAACACCATTTTAAGGACAAAATTATTATCCCCTTTAAGCTATTTTTTTTCCGACTATCTACAGAACAGACCATCGTTATACAATGACTTTGCCTAATTACCCTAACCTGCCTAGTTAACCTAATTAACCAAGTTAAGCCTTTAAATGTCACTTTAAGCTGTATAGAAGTGTCTTGAAAAATATCTAGTCAAATATTATTTACTGCCATCATAGCAAAGATTAAATAAATCATTGATCAGAGATAAGTTATTAAAACTATTATGTTTAGAAATGTGTTGATAAAAATCTCCCCGTTAAACAGAAATTGGGGAAAAAATAAACAGGGAGTCTAATAATTCAGGGGTGCTAATAATTCTGACTTCAACTGTATATAGCAGTATAGGAGAAAGAAGCAAATAGTCAAATAAAAAAATATATATATAATTAAGTGTTCCTGTAGACTCTTTTTTTTATCAAGTGTGATTACATTAAAAAAAAGATATATATTTTTACCATTAGAAGCTGGTTATATTCACACACTGTTGAAATGCAACTGTGTTAAAATCCCTTATAATGGTTATTTTTGCATTATACTGTAGGTCCCCTTTATTGAGCATGTTACCTATTTACAGCATTCCAAATGGCTCTACCATGATTATCCATTTTTGGTATACTGTTGCCTTACACAGTGTCACAACAGTTACCTTCATACAACAAATTGGCTGTTGCAAACTCTTGTGTACTTTGTGTCAGAAGTAGCCGAGGTACTTAAAGTACATCCAGCATTGACTAAGCCCAGACAGGATTCCCACGGGTCAAGAGATTTCTGCAATATCATGGAATTTTCAAAGGTGTATTCCAGACAAAAAAAGACAAGGAAAGTTATATATTATTGGCCCAAGTTATTGCATATCGCCTGTTTTAACACTGTTTCATGTGTTTTACATATTATTATGTTTAGGCTATATTTCACTGTCATTTTATTATTTTTCCACTTGTCAACCAGCAATTTAATGCAGTCACCAGACTCCACCTGCTAAAATGCTGCTATTTGTCTGCTCAGTGCTCAACTATTAGCTCATGAGTTTCACAGTAAAATTCTTGGATTGTTGCAGCACAAAATAACTGGTTTTGCAGTGCTTTTTCTCAAAATTTGCGCCAATATTTGCGGCAAGATCCTCAAGAAGCATTAGTCTCTGTAGTTTATATAAAGGGAACACTGAAACAGGCAAACAAAGAGAGAAACATTCACCTCTTTAAGCAAATAAATCCTACTACATCATGTTTGATACACCAATGAATCTAAATGATGGAAATAAACAAAACCTAAAATTTCACCCAAAAATGAAAATTTACACACTATTAGGAGGTGGTTCCAAAACTTTTTGAGTTTCTTTCTTCTATTGGACATAATAGAAGATGTTTTGAAGAAAGCTGAAAACCTGTGATCATAGTAGAGAAAACATTGTAATAAAAAAATGTAATTGAAGTCATTGGTTACAGGTTTACGTAATTTTTCAAAATATCTTCTTTTGTGTTCAATAGAAGAAAGAAACTCAAAAAGGTTTGAAACAAATAAAATGATGACAGTTTTCCATTTTGTGTGAACTATTTTTTAAAATTCTCTTCAACAATAGCATTAGAGAAATCATGTTCAAATTTTAGTCTCTAATTGAATGTGCTTTTTGATAATGTCACTTGACTTCTAAGACCCTGTTTATACAAATACGTTTTAGTTTTAAAATGCATAACTTTTGCTACTGTTAAACCTTTTGTCCACACTACCCCAGAGTTTTCGACCCCTTAAAGTGGAGCGTTTTAGTTTTAAAGGGCCATGAAACCCCCTCGTTTCAGCAGGGTGTTTTCACACCTCTACTTTGGAAAAAGTCAGAAAAGTGGGCGTGTCCAGCTCTGTTTAGGGGGGAGTGTCGGAGGAACTAAAGTGAGTGTCTATTTGTGCACGCGCGAGTTTCAGAGTCAAAATACACACCCACACAGACAGGAGAAAGTGATGTTTAACCTACATGGACATCTGTAGTCGAATTATTTGCCAAATTATTAAATGGTGGACTTTAACTGCAGTTTGGCTCTTTCATTCAGGGAATTCATTCATGCCTCTCGCGACAAACGAGATATTTGATTCGAGGAACTGCTGCAAGCGTGTATTTTTCATGCAATGTTTGATACCGCACGGCGAATGAGAGAAAAAAAAAACTCAGCATTTCCCGGAAACTTAGATGCACACGGCAGGTAGTGTCAGAAAGCCGCGTGTGTTATTCCGGTCACAAAATGCGGTGCTATCATTTCTGCACTCAGTGCAATAGTTAACTTAATTCGATACGAACAAACTGAATAAACAAAGAGCACTGGTCGCTCACTTACCAAATCTGTAGAGACAGAACAATCACCAGCAACTAGAGCCGCGTCTTTATGAAGAGAATACTACAAACAAATCCAGATTTCAGCGTTTGCAGATGAGAACAGCTCTCAGGTAAACAATAATCCTCCTTAGACACGTAAGTTATTGTTGTCGAGCGTCGCGTACACTGTTAATCCACACGTGATCCAGATAAGCTCTCACAGAGAGAAAATGAAAACGAAACTTAACAGCAGCAAACTATAAAAGCAACAGTTCACGCTTGTTTTGCCAACACAACGTGGCGTCTTTGTGGTGTAAACACGGTGACAATAATGAATATTAATGAAGTTGCAATATAGAGCGCGCTGATTGGTTTGAAACAAGCCTTACTCATGCATTAATGTATCACACTGTAAGACGTAATAAGACTCACTCAGGCACAGACGTCCAGTCTGCACGCTGGAATACAGGCTATTATGTCATGGCCGTGACGCAGCTTCAAAAATTCATTTCAAACAAGAAGTACAAATTTGCTTGAAATAACGCAAAAACAACCAATTTACACTTTTTAGTGAAATATAGGTGTCCTAATAGTGTTTTTAGCAGTGTGGGACACATATACGACTGTCAACAGCTTAAAAAATGTGTTTTGGTGTTTCGTGACCCTTTAAAATGCTTCTGCTCCCTGTCAGTGCTGGTGGAGTAAAACGGAGACATCTGAAAATGGAAGCATGGCTGTAGGCTACCTGATTAAGGCTTTTTCTCAATATCAAGTACACAAAGTTCAGACTTGCATCCTTTCCTTGTAAGTTCAGACTTCACTAGTGTATAACAAACTCCCGAGGACTCGTCGGGTAAATTTTAGAACTTTTAGAACGTCGTTCACCCTGGCTACGCACATCACCTTACCAATAATTAATAACAATAAAGTATCTTTAATTTTCATATTAAAAACCTAAACATAACAGACACCAAAAATGTTAAGGTATCATGTACATATTTATGTGACCATCATCCTTGCTGAATGCAAATTTATAACAAAACGGAGCTTAATAACGGCCTCCTTTCATTTTGATTGAAAAAATATGAAACATTAGGCTCACTGTGTGGTTTTGCATAGTGGAAATGCATGATGAAATATGAAATAGCCATCTCTTTTGCTAAATATAATAAGCGGTAAGCTATAGTGTAATAATCAAAAATAATTATGAAAGTACAATAGGTTTAAACTATATAGGCAATAAAGGCAAGAAATCGGTCAAACGTGCGGAATTATAGATTGCGTTTAACAACTACAGAGTGATAAGATCCAGCTGCAAATTCGGGATGGACTAGCTGACAATCGGCTGCTCTTAG